CGAGGTTCTCCCCGGTTCTGCCTCTTGCCTCCAGTGGCTGCTGGGAACGGGAGGAGCTGCTGCAGGGAGGGGGGACCGAGACCTCCCTAGGAGGCATGAGCCCACCTAGTGGCACAAGCACCTCTGCCACCTGCCCGCGGCAGGACAGCCTAGAGTGCCAGGTAGTGGGGGAAAAGCGCAGACCCTTGGGGCTTGGGAGCTGATGGGATATACTGTCCCCTGGCTATTGCCCCACAGGACATCCACTAGGGCAGAGATGACCCCCAGGACATCCTTTTAGATTTTCAGGCTCCTCCAGTGGTGATTTTTGGCAAGGATCTGGAGCAGAGGCATCACCACAGTGGACGTGTGGCCAGGAGCACCAGCAGCACGGTGCTGCAGCACATGAGCCAGCACACATCAGGGAATAAGTCCCTTGTTCCACAAGGGGCCCTGCCAGGGCACAGGGTGGCACATCCAGCCTGGGGTCCTGGGGGGCCCAGAGAGACCTGAGGGGCTGTAGGGGGACACAGAGCCCCCGTGGGGCTCAGCACAGCCCTGTCGAGGGGCAGGAGCGGGACAAGGATGCCGAGGGGACACCAAGGCAAGTGGAAAGGCAGTGCCATGTGCCATACCCTGCTGCTGCCCACCCCCAGCTGCCCGGGGTGCACATCAGCTGCTGGCACCAGCGCCAGGCAGGAGCAACCTCCAGTTTCTATAGGAACCAGATCAAACCTTGAAAGAGCTGCTCTGTACTTGCCTGTCTCTTGGTGCCACGGTGGTAGTGGGGAGCTCACAGCTGGTCCTGCAGCTCAGCAGTCCTCCTAGGATGAGACCAGGTCCATTGTCCTGCTGCTGTGAAGCCACGAGGCATCCCAGGTCCCTGCAGACACATGTACTCACAGCATCACGGGCAAGAGCCACGATTGGAGAAAAAACACCGCTGAAAAATAAAAATAGTTAGTTAAGCTGCAGCCATCGATCAGTCGTGGGCACAGTGCCACCCTGCTGGGAACCCCCGCCACGTGCGTTGCCAGCAAGCACTGCACCAGCACACAGCAGAGGAGCCAAGAGTGGCTCCTGGAGGAAAATCCTGTGCTGCTGCCTGGGAGCCTGGCCTGGGGATCTGGGCTGACAGGGGCAGTGACAGGAGCTTGAGCCACTAGAGCATAGTTCACATGGCCCAGGGACAGGAGCACAAAGGGCTGTGGGCATCCGGAGGAGCAAATGCAACAGGGAATGTGAAGTTGAAGGGGAATAAATACTCCAGCCACTCCTGTTTTTCTATTAAAATCTTTGACCTCCCTAAGGAGCTGACACCAGCCCATGGAAAAGCTGGGAGCAGGGCCGGGAGCACACAAAGGATACACTGTGGCCAGCAGATGCACACTGGCCACACAGCCCCTTCCTTCATCCTGTCAGTGACATCTCCCCCTGCCCGGCAAGGCCGGTCACCCCCCACAGCCTGGCACCCTGGGGTCACTGCCAGCACACAGCCCCAGCGGGGATCCAACCCATGCCCACAAGTCTCCATCGTTCTCACGGGGCTGAGCCCCTGGGACATATCACGCTGAAAAAAAACACCTTTTAGCTGGTAAGAGCTTATAGCAGAGACTGCCCAGCAATGCCCTTCCACAGCATCAATGCTGACAGCCTCCTCCCTCACACAGGGACATGTGTCCCCAGAGGGGTGGCTGCACTCTGGGCTGCTCCCTGCACCCACAGCATTGCCCCTGTCCCCAGGAGAAGAAAGGGTGGGAAGGAAAAACACGTTGTACCTGCACAGGGCCCTGCAGCATCAGCAGAATCCCATGGGACCCTGCCACACTGAGCCCCCTCCCCAGGCACTCACAACATCAGGCAGCTGCTACAGACAGACACTTGTGCCCCCTGAGACCGGCAGCGAACGAAGGGTCCCCTTGGCCTCAGCTGAAGCAGCATCTCCCAGCCTGGAGCAGAGATGAAGCTCTGGGAGCTGCTCTGGGTCAGGTCCAGCAGCCACGGAGGCGGCTGCTGCCCTCTGCAGGGGCAGGAAAGGGAGAGCAGAGCCTTCCGTGGCACCCGCGGTGACAATGACACTGCGCTGGACGGCTTTCAGCGATGAACACATCCTGCGGGCACGAGCAGGGCCAGGGGACAGCCCAGCTCTGCTGTGGGGACTTCTCCTGCAGCACTTGCAGCAGACACTGCCAGCCCAGCGGCTCCAAAGAACAGTGACTGTTTCTAGGACCTGAGCTCCCAGTCTGGAGCAAGGGCTGGTGTCACCAGGGCCAGGTCTGGACCTTGCAAAAAGAGCTGCACCCAAACCCAGCCCCTCTCTGTGGCAGGCTGAGACCAGGAGGCCAATTTTGAATTCTTTTTAACTGCTTCCCTTAGATAAAGTGGATTTGACTCTGTCTGGCTCTGGAAGATCTGGTTCCAGCACTTGCACTGCAGGCCACCCACGGAGCTGTCACTAGGACAGGAACAAGGACACAGGGGCTCTGTGGCTGTGGGCTGCTGCAGAAGAGGCAGGGGTAGGTGCCAGCAGCAGCTTTCCCCTCTCCAAAGGGACACATCCTCTGACCAGCACGCTGACCACACTGATGCCATGAGTCTGTAACTACAGGACAAGTAACATCTTCAGCAGCACCCACCTGGACACACCACACCAGGGCAGAAGAGACACGAGTGTTTGACTCTGCCTTGGTGCTGCTCCATCTGTAGCCTGCCAGCTCCAGCCTGTGTTACTGAACCAGCACAACTGTTTAAAGAGCCTTATTTATTCAGCTAGTTCTCTGGGGGGGAATATTCCCTGCAATCAGCCAGGTTTGCTAAATAATTTAGAGTTATAGCCGCTCTCAAGAGAGGGACCATCACACCTCCATGCTCACTGCAGGCCGAGGGGATGGGGTGACAGAAGAGCTGCCTCTTCTACTGCACATCCCAGCTCAGGTCATGTCCCCACAGCTCCAAAAGCAATTGCAGCTCAGGTTTGAGCAGAAACACTGTCTGCTGCACATCTCCCTGCAAGGCAGACAGGTCCTGTCATCCAAGGGGAAATACCCCCCACACCCCAAAACACAGCTCTTGGCCAAGGCTTCTCCTGCCAGCCCACCCCAGGGCCCTCCCTCCAACCCCTGTATCACAAACTGGGTGTAAAACACCAGAGGGAAGGGTGCAGTACCCAAAACCTTCCTTTAGGAATTTGATGGAAAGTTTGGAGCTCAAAGTTTGGAATAGCTGAAGAGGCCAAGACAGCTGGACCTTTCTTTGTGCTTTTCCAGCAGGCTCCCCACTGCCTGCAGGGTGTATGAAGGCAGCACAGCTCCGTGCTAACACTGTCCCCCCCTCTGACTCCAGG